AGATTTGCCTCTTGTCAAAACCAGCATACTTCTCCAAAAGAGTTTTGGTTTAAATGAATCAGAGGTTCTGACACATTTTATGGAAATGTGACAAATCCTGTATAAAACTAGTGCCTTAATTCCTAGGACACTTAGTGAAAGATGCATCCTCGGTGTTCAGCAGTAATTAAAAAAAGGAAGTGAAACCAAAGTCTAAATTAAAAAGCAAATGAAGAATATTTTACCAAATATTAAGGCTATTAAAGCAATCACTTGCATTCACTCACCATGTATACGGCATTCAGATTTGATCATTTGATCCTTAAAGATAAGTAAAAGAAGTAAAAAGGCCTTGAGAAGGGCAATAAAAATGACGAGAATCATGGATGGTGAGGAGGAGGGCTTCTATGAAAGAGAATTAACAGAATACACCTGATTAAGCTTGGATAGAAGGCTAGCAGGAGAGCTGTTAATGATGTAAAAATAATAATAACAAAGTAGAGAGAAGATCAACCTGGAGCTTCTCTAAGCACTTTTTCCTTATTCCATTTCAGATTTAGAAATTTGAAATGGCAGGGGGTGTAGGCAGGTAGACGAGGGTTGTAGTTTGGCGTTCAGATTTGTACCAGTATTTTTTTTTTTTTGAGACATAGAAATTTGAATGCTAAAAGAAAAAAATATGATGATCTAGAAAAGCCAGTCATTTTGACACGCAAGCTACATCTTCCCCCAAGAACTTGCTTTCAAAGATACAAGCAAGCTTTCCCTTTTTTAACTGTAAAAACTAAGTAATGTTTTTAACATAAAAACCTGAGCGTGTTATTCCAGAAAAGGCCCTGTTTTGTTCTGATCCCAGGCGCATGTTCCAAGAGGCTTAACTCAAAATCCTCTCTTGTCTCAGCTGATGTTCCCTGGTGGTCAGGTGCATTTAGAGACAGCTATGCGGCCCCTGTATGTTAGATGACATTAAAACAGTTTCCTTGCTCAAAGCAGAGCAGCTAGTATCATATAGGCTGGGAATTGCCGTGATTTTCTATAGTGGGTACCAAGTCTGGCTCTAGGGGGTAAGGAAGAAGTAAGTTGCCTAGAGGAACAGACCTGCTGCGGAAGCAGCAATTCTTCCGTAACTCTACTACTTTCTTTCTCGTTGCTACAGCCCCAGAAAATCGGGTCCGAAGCTGTTACCAGTGGCACTGGAGAGAGGTTGAGCATATGCAGGATGATAACCACTTTTGGGGTTAGCAGGTTGAACCTGAAGCAGCAAAAATTGCTCTTTCCACCCTTCCCCGACGCCTGTGGCAGGAAAAACAGCAAGCCCTATATCCCAGGTCTTGTCCTTAGCTATTTGCTTTAGTTGCACCCCTTCCTTCTATTTTCCCATGTCTTGTGGCCCAGCTCTCCCTCCTGAGGTGGCAAAATCCAGTTTTTCCCACCCTGGTGAGAAATGGTGACCGGCACACCATGGATGTCACTTCTGTATATGTCAAAGAAACTGCTACTTGCATAGGACAGCTGTCATTTTGTGAGGAAAAAGCTGATACAGTCCCGTCAGGTGAGCACTTTTGCAATTACCCTGTCTTTTAGAGATTATAAATTTGTTTTTGAAAGGTTCTTTTCCTTTCAGTGAGGAATCAGAATGACTTGAGCTGCAAGCAGGAGGTTTTGTTCTTTGTTAACCTGATACAACAGCCAGTAAAATCAATAGGAGGACTGTCACTAGCATCATCAGCTCTGGACTGAGCCCTCTGCATGGAAAAACACAGTCGGCTAAATTAACTTGGTGTCTGCAATGTCAAAAATGCCTGAAGTCAATGTGGTCAGTGGGTGGAGGACTGGTCCCACGTCTCTGAAAATTTTGGTGTAGGATGAGCGAGTGGATTTTAGTGTCAAGCATTTGGCATTTTTTAGAGCAAGTAGACACGCAAGCCAGTGAACATCGACAGCGTTCCTTTATTCTTTTTAAATGACTCATAAATTCTCAAGGCTAATGATGAAAACGTAGAGGTCAATACCAGCTATTTTCCTGCCAGTCAGACTCCCACCTCCAAAGCTGAATGTAGTATACAACAGTTTTAACTGCCACCGGTTTTGAGCTCTGATGATTGTGTCAATGCCGGTATAGAGACATCCTGAGAACAGAAAATGCCAAATGCAACGTTTCCTCTGCTGTAGATGAAGGCCGTCCGCCTTCAGAAAGCATCATCACAACAGGCTTCACTTGCAAGTTCTCTTCGTAATTATGACAGTGAAAAAGGGCTTCAAAAAATAAAACTTCAGTTTATTTTTAAAAAGTAAACCTTCAGAACTGATGAGCTGTCTCGGGAGATTCAACTCTCTCCACCCCCACCCTAGGTGAAATTAAGAGCAACAAACTTTAAAAGGGTAGTAGGATATATGTATTTATACCAAGCATGATTAACCCTCCGGTAAGGAGCCCACTGCTGCAAGAAATAATCAAGGAACCATTTAGTAAGATCTGAAAAAAGGGCTATATAAATATGAAGACGAATAGCAGCTTTATAGGCGTGATATACTGGTTAGACAGAGATTACAAGGCCTATCAGTTTTCCTCCTTTACAACGTAAAGTGAGCGCCATCTGGATCTGAGATCAGCTCTCTTTTGTTATCACATGGGACACAATGCCAAGCATTTTTTGCAGGGTGTTTTAACAACCTATCCCCTCCTTCCTTCTCACACAGAGCGGACAAAATAAAAGCCTTGCTATAAAGGTCGGTGCCAGAGTTGCTGGCTGCAACTTTAAATCAGGAATAATTTCACTGAAGTCAGCGGGTTCCTCGCAGACAGTACCCTGGGATCAATCCCCTGGCCTACAGGATCACATAAAATAGACCAAATATAGACTGTTCCATTATGATGATATCTGTTCCCTTTTGCTCTTGTCCTCCTCCCATGCCCTCATCCAAAAGATTAAATAAGACATTTGGGTATTTCCAATAATCCATGACCTTTCTGATTTGGAATGTTTGCTTTGTTTTGGAAGTAAAAAGAATTTCATAGTCATTAAAAAAAAAAAAAAAAAAAGAGGCTCTCCTGGCCATTTGTTCAGATGCTGAAAATTCAGCCATATATTTTCCTTTATGAAGTTATTGCTCTGAGAGCACGCTGCATTGCCACAAAGTATCCACAAATCTCTTGCAGTGCTTTTCAAAAAGCATTTGTCTACCCTTTCAAATCCTGAGCAGCAGCTGGGACTGATTCAAAGCTTCCGATAGAGATCATGACAGATATAAAGGAACCGGAGAGAACAGAAATGGGAAAAGGCACTGGCAGTTTGTGACCAACACGGGAAGGAGAGCCAGGAGGCATTTTATGTAGTTAGAAGCATTGAATCATTATCACTCAGCAAGCTGGATTCCAGCGATCTCATTTCTTGTCCGTCCTAGACAGGATCAAGTCAAAGGAGCGTGCCTTGCCCACAGAACTCAGTGTTTGGGGCAATTTTTAGGTTCTGATCTGCATGCCGCGAGAGAGCCTGCGATATGTCTTGCAACCAACTTTGTTAAATAAAAAGCATAACAAAAGTGGCTTTGATGCATAAAACTGGCTGAGGTAGAGACTGGGAAAATCTCGATTATGTATCATCTTTCAGAAGACAGCACAGTCCATATCAGAGCTAATGCAAGATAAAGGGATTGTTCCAGACTTATCTCTGCTGACTGGTTAGCAGCTGTATGGGCCTTCAGTCACAGATAACACGACTAACAGCTCTGCAAAGTGTTGTCTCATGAATCCCACCTCCCTTTTGTTCAAGATACCGTCTGTTTTCTCTCAAACAAATCATCTTTTTGGGCTACTGGCATGAGTTTTTGCTGCTACAGGTAAGCCACAGTAGATGAAAGACTGAAGACACTATTTGACCTTTTACTTATCTTTTGACAGTGCCTAGGCTAAGGTTAGCAGATGTCCACCATTGGAAACGCCAGCTGATTGCTGACAGGAATCAAGTTTTCCTCATTTCTTTCTTCTTGAAAGCCCTTGGCATCAGCTTATGCACATACATTTCATGGATGGGCACTGGTTATTATCTTAGTAGCTTAGGGGTTAAAGTCTCTCTCTGAACTTGGAGTAATTTAAACTAAATTTGAATACTTTACTGAAACATCAACGTTAGGAATCTAGCTACCTCCATTTCCTTGAGAGTTAATTAGGAAAACCACCACAGAACTCAGACATCCTCTGAAGCTTCTTGTCTTTCTCTGTTAATCACAAAAACACAGAATCACACAATGGTTGAGCTTGCAAGGGACGTCCGGAGATCATCTCGTCCAACTGCCCGCTCAAAGCAGGGTAACCTACAGCAGGCTGCCCACGACCATGTCCAGTCAGGCTTTGAATATGGAGACTGGAGACTCCACAGCCGCTCTAAGCAACCTGTTCCAGTGTTTGATCACCCTTGGTCAAGCGTATGTAATTTGCATTATTAATGTTACCTGGAAATGAAAATTGGCTAGGTTTCCAAATTAATGCTATAGTTAAATGCTTCAGCTACATAGATTCAATGCATGTGACTAAACAAACTCCTAACAAATATCAATACTTTTTTTTTTTTTACCAACAAAAATGTCTATGTGATGTCAATGTTGGCAAAGAAAGAGAATAAAGTTTATAGGAAGAGACAGTACTTTTAACTAGACCAGATGTTTTAGAGGAAAAAAAGCAATGTGCCATGCTCATATTCCCTCTTGTCCTCACCTGACCACAAACTTGTGTCCTTTCTTACAACTTCAGCTTGTACAACAAAAAGCACTGCTTCTTCCTATAAATCTTCTAATCTTATTTTTGATTGTCAAGGTTACAACACTACTCCCTCAGGTCCCACGTTTTTATCTTCCAACCCATTTGCTGGAAGGAGTTGGAGAACGTCCAACAATGTGAGTAATACACATGTTGGATCAGTGAAGTTGAGCTGATAAACTGTCAGAGGATTCATATGGTTGTTGTGGCAGTTAGTGCTCCTCATATAGTGTGGTATGAGTTCTGGTTTTGCTACATATGCGATCATGGATTCGTCAAGAAAGGATCTCAAGAGGCTTTCTAGACAATTAATTTTCCTGAGGTAAAATGAATTTATGTCATTTCTGACAGCTGCTTGGCTAGCCTGTTTTTAAAACTTTTTATGGAGGTCAGTGAAGACTCTGTAACCAATTGAGAAATTGTATTTTGTGCTTCATTAGCCTTACTGTTAGAAAGCTGTTCTTAATGTTTGATTTTAATCTTCCTAAATGTCCATTACCCCTTGTCCTGACTGCCATTGACATGAAGAACAAGTTGTTCCCTCTAACTTTGTGACATCTTTGCATCTTTTTACAATTATCAGGTACCCAT